CCTTGAGAGATCCTTCATCACCGAATACACGCAATTATGGAGTTCATGTTGATGACACCGCTCTGGGAGGTGACCCACAAAGTCCAGTTTTCCAAGAAGCCTTGCGAAAACTCCGAAACAGGTTTCCTTACAGAAAGTGGAGAATCAATGAAGGTGAGTTCTGTGGAACTTGGTACAAACAGGATTCAAACAAAGCCATACACATGAGCATGCAATCATTCGCTGAAAAGATACGATCAATAAAAGTTCCTAGAGGTAGCAATCCCGAGGATCTGTTGAATCCCGGACAAATAAAGGTACTTCGTGCAGTCAATGGAAGTCTGAACTGGTTGTCATCCCAGTCAAGACCTGATCTTAGGGTTCAAACAAGCTTAAGCCAACGATCTTTTCCGCGTCCAACCATTCGGTACTATCACGCCATCCGTCATGCTCGACAAGAAAGTCAAATGGGTATCACCTTTGAGAGTATAGCCCCAGAAGACTTGACTCTTGTTTGTCATTCTGATTCGGCTTTTGCAAATGTTGGATCGCACACACAAGCAGGGTATGTCATTGCATTCACACACAAGAGACTACAAGATGGCATAGAAACGGAATGGACTCCAGCGTTTTGGAAAAGCTATAAGATGTCTCGGGCAGTGAGTAGCACCTTGGCGCCAGGCAATGTCCACAGCTACAGGAACGGTGGAATGGCTCTCGCTGCTTTTGTCCGACATGTTAGATGGAACACTGGACGTTTGTGACTGCCGCCAGAGATTGAGAAATAGATCTCCGATCTTGATCACTGATTGCAAGAGCCTCTATGATCATCTTCATTCCCCCTCATTTCCAACATCCATAGATGATTGTCGAACCAGCATTGATGTGGTAATCATCCAAGAGAGCGTTCGTTTGATGCATGCACATGTTCGCTGGGTTCCTACCGACCGCATGGTCGCCGATGGGTTAACTAAGGATAGTGGTGGTCCCATAGATCTAATGCGCGCTTGTATCAAGAGAGCCTCATACCAGATAAGCCCCGAGGACACCGTGTTGGAATATCAGGCTCTATAACGTGACCGGCGTATGCAAAATAGATCCTCTAAGGTCCCTAATTAGTTAGGTCGGCTTTGAATGCACTTGTTGTCAAGTGCCTGCCGGGTAGTGACTTGAATGTGATTGATGGGTCAATCCATGTGTCCAGCCGGCAAAATGTCTGGCTACTCCGAAGAGCAATGCTTTCACCTCCTTCGAAAACCCCGGGCAGCATGACCGATGCTTCAAAGAGGCGCTCAGACGATGCCGCACCCTCAACGGCTCCATGCCTGAAGCAACGCCCTCTCGCTCCGCAGGCGAGTGGAAAACACAGTGATGATCGCTTCCCACCTGGCATCTCCTCTCTCACTGAGAGGGGAAAGACAGTGCTGCGATATGGTAAATTCGCAAAGGCTGATCTCACATATATGCTGAAATGGCCGATGATTTGTCAAAGGAAAAGAGCTCATACTGCGCTTGGACTAAGTCCCAGAAGGACAGGGCAAATCTACATGCGCAGCTTCGTGATTTTGGCAGTTACCTGAATGCTCGCTCAGGAGACAGCGAGTCAGGTGTGATTTGCTATCCTGGCAGCACCCTTCCCCGGCAGATGCGGGGATGAAGGAGTTGAGAAAGCCTTCGGCAGCAGCACATCCATGTGCCAGCGTGTGTTCGTTTGTATGCTTCACTATAAGCCTGAGAAGGGCAGAGCTTGCTGGCAAAGGAAAGATTTTAAGCAGTGTCAAAGCAGCCGAAGCCACCATGCATTCATACCGCGGGGAAACTTGCTCGAGGAAAAAGGAGCCCGCGCGACCTTCAGGAGAAGGGTGTTTTTCCGCAAAATATATAACGTATAATATATAATATATATATATATATGTGCGACGGCATTTTTTGGTACTTAGCTCAAATACACTATCTCTTATGTGGGGGCCCTATCTCGTTTAGACTACTTAAGCAGGAGCTCATGTCACAGCATCTCGTTCAGACTACTTTTGTAGCAGGTCACACTATCCCGTTCAGACTACTTTAGTGACATCAAGCAAGTATCTCGTTTATGTGGGTGCCCTATCTCGTTCACAAGCGAATACTGATGATAGACAAACAAATAGAGCACGCCGTAGACTACTTTAGTAAAGCCTAAATAAAAGTGGTTGCTCATATAGTGTGTTCAAATGTTTGCAGCAGTTTTGCCGCGTCACCCACTGGAATGGAAGAAAGGATGTCAAAAAAACAGGCAACTTCTCTGGCCACTGAGGTGCAGTTAGCGCGGGAAACTGTTCTACCTCAAGTGAACGTGGCCACAGCTGAAGAGCTGGCTAGCATTGGGTTCAAGAGTGGGCAGTCCACAAGATCAGTATGCTCACTTTTGCTCACTGCGCACTCTGCACCAACAGCTCTGCTCTCGTTTCCACCTGTCACAAGTGTGTTGAGCATAGGGACTCATCTGCTCAGAGGCAATCTAGTTTGTGAGGGCCTCGTATCAGATGCTCTTGGGTAGGTGGCCCATGATTCAGGGTGGTTCCAAATGCCACATGCCGGATATGCTCCCGTTCCTGTGTTTGGTCCCTGCAGCCTGCACTTCCAAGCATGAACAAAAACCGCAGATCTGTTCCAAGAACACTTTGAGGTACGCGCCACGCGCATTCCATGCAGCCACATTCCGACTACATCTTCTTTCCCTCAAACACGCTTTCACTGTTTCCGTCTGCGTTCGGGAGGCGCTCGAGCGGCCGTGCGTCCACTGGTGAGGGCGTGGGGTTTGAAACCAGAGTGGTTGAGGAAGAGTGATGGGAAAGCAGCACCTGAGAGCATCTCAGGATCGCTGGTTTTCAATGTTGTCTCACCGGATTGTGATTGTCCACGTCAGCACCGCCGCTACACGATGTAGGTCGCGCAACATTTGGATACTGAAGACTGATGGAAACGCGTACTGAAACCATCATGAACGCTACGATCGCCTTGCTTTCGCACAACTTCAGGTTGCTGATTGGCATTCTGCTCAAGAATGTTAAGGGTTGAGTTCCGGCTTGTGATTTGGCAATGTTTGGCCGTTTGGTTTCTCTTCTTCAAGGAAGCTCCGCCGCCTTTGGGCAGGGGAGCTTCCTTGAAGAATCGTGAGTTATCCTCTGCCCAGTAGCTAGTACAGTAGTATCTAGCAGCTTGCTTAAGCTACTAATGGCTACCTCTTATGGATTTTACGGCCTACCCCCCAAAAAAATATAAAGTACCGCGTGATTTCGTGAGAGCTTTCTACCAGGAAGCTCGTCTCGATCACAGGCTCAGAGAAAAATGACACTCGGATAGTTTTCTGAGTTTGGAGAGTTCGCACAATTCTTGGATATTTTTGGCAAATGCATCAAGTTCGCTCAATCAACAAACGCACTTATGTAACTTATTGTGATACCTGAGAAGCTGCAAAACGAAAGCCAGCGTTGTTTGTCCACGAGCACGTTGTTGGTATATTTGGTCTTAAACATAGAACACCATTGGACATTCGATAGGCATCCCATATTTGTTTGTTAACTATCCTTTTGCCAGCCCCGGGCCTTGCGCTTGAAGAGAGATAATCAAAAAGCGGTAGCTACCCTGGGTCCGCGCGCGCGCATGCGCCTTGCTGGCTCTCGGTCTGCCCTAGGTTTAGGCGCGCGCGCGGACCCAAGGTAGCTACAAAGGCAGTTGCCAGATATAGCCTATAGCACTTCAATTTCCCTTTCCGTCAACCGCTAACATGACAAACGTGCAGCAATCCACGTACCCAGGGTAGCTACAATTCAGTGACCAGGTACAGCACTTCAAGTTCCCTTTCCGTCAACCGCTCGATAACCTTTACACACGCACAGCAACCCACAGCTTTGAAGTCTCATTCGTGCTTTGAACTTATATATAGGTGTTTAAGAAGTATAACAACATAGCATTCTGCGGACCCAGGGTAGCTACAATTCTGTTGCCAGGTATCGCACTTCAATTTCCCTACCCTGGGTCCGCGCGCGCGCGCGCGCCGCAGACCCAGGGCAGCTTTAAGGCAGGTATACCCAGGGTAGCCACAATTCAGTTGCCAAGTTTAGCACTTCAAGCATCCGAAGACAATTGCATTTCTGAAAATCACAAAACAGCACCTCCAAAACCTTGCTTCCGTGCACCCCTACACACCACCTACTTTCGAGTGTGCTTTCTCAGGCCACACCCCAGAAACCCCCTTCTTCCTCAGCTGGCGCCTTGCCAGGTATAGATACCCAGGGTAGCTACAATTCAGTGAACAGGTATAGTACTTCAAGTTCCCTTTCCGTCAGCCGCTCGATAACCTTTACACACGCACAGCAATCCACAGCTTTGAAGTCTCATTCGTGCTTTGAACCTATATAGGTGTGTAAGAGGTATAGCAACATAGCATTTATACAGACCCAGGGTAGCTACAATTCTGTTCCCAGGCGCGGACCCAAGGTGGGTTGCTGTGCGCGTGTAAAGGTTATCGAGCGGTTGACGGAAAGGGAACTTGAAGTACTCTACCTGGTAACTGAATTGTAGCTACCCTGGGTGTCTATACCTGGCAAGGCGCCAGCTACAGCTTACCATTCAGATGATGCAAATGATGCAAACTGCATTTCTTGCATCACCACCCCCTCTAAAATCTCAAAAAATCACCTCCAACACAAACTCAAAAACCGTACTTCCGCACACCCCTCTCCACCACCTAATTTCGAGTTTACGTAGTGCTTTCTCGGGCCACCCCCCAGACCCCCTATACTCACTTCGTTCGCCAAACACAACTCAGCTGGCGCCTTCTACGAAGGCTGGCTTTCGTAACAAACGTCCCCAAACTTAACTACAGAGCTATCACCAATTCTGGAGGGATCTCCAAACACACTTGCTGAAGAATTCTGGAAGTTCACAAGTGTTGATCCAGAATCCAAGAAAATTCATGACCCTGAAGAATCTTATGAACGAATCTCTGAGTTTGGAGAATCCTCACTTCGCTCCTTTTTCGCTGAGCTTTATCGATTCATGACTCCCGGTCACTGGTCACTGGTCTTCATTCGGTCTTCATGCCGTCGCATAAATCAAGACCAGCAGAACTGAGGAATTCTGAAGTCCTTCTCTTCGTTTCACCTCAACACTTTTCAATTCATGTTTAAACTTGCATGTTTAACTGCTTTGTTAATTGAAGTTTTAACACTACAAGCGCCTCTTCAGTCATCATAGACCAGGCAAAACATGGTCAAACAAGCTAGCTAGTAGCTTGATGTGGCTTATTGGTTCAGCAATGTAGTGCGAAGCGGTGTCTATCCCATAGGGGGAATGATCCGGATCATCCTCTATGGTTGACATTGGGACATCCCAAACGCAATCTGTGTCTCGTCAGAAGCTCAGATCCACCTGACACCTTGCAGCCATGGTCTTTGCAGTCTCATTTCCAACTCTCCAGGAAGGAAATGGGCTGAGGCTACACAACGAGAGCGGGATCTCCTGCGCCAAGATTCGATTCAATATGCCAGACTGTGCCGGGCGCTGGAATATGTGCTCACTTGTGCTCTTTCGCTGGCTATCCCCCAATCCAGCCCATGTTCCATCCGCCAGCTGGGTCCTTCCCCAGCCGTTCGAGGAGCAAAGCTCTCCATCACGAATCCTGCAAATTCTGTCATTCATACATAACTGACCGCTGGGTTCAGTGTGGTCACGGGCAAGTCGCGGGAACTAGGGAGAGAAACCTGGGAAGACAAGAACAGCTACTCCACGTTGCACAACGCTCCTGTTGTTGTTCGCCGATGCCTCCATCGCCCCTAGCTACACACAGGACACCAGCTAGGCAAACTACACATGAACATCATTCCACATCAGCATTCTCTAGTTCAACCTCACGGGTCTTCATGTCATTCTCCAAAGTCTCTTCGTCAGTGCCACGAAGCTCATTGTAAACCTGCTGCGTGATGTGGTCTTTCTTCATGCTCTTGCAAATCTCAACGTTCTCACCATGGATCAAAGCCTCTCCTTGCAAATCAATGAATTTTCGGGCCTCAAACTCTTGGTTCACTGCAGTGCTCAGGACCTTGCGCACCCTTTCCTTGAAGGAGTCTGTCTCCCTCTGGCTCAAGGTGCACGAGGTGTTGCCATGATGCAAACGCTTGCGATTCTACTGCATGAAGCTTTCAAGGGTCCGTGATCCACTTTCCAAGAGACTCCGGTGGTATGATTGCCCCTGTGAAGTTCGCGGCTAATGCACGTGTCTCACGTCCGGACATCTCCTCACTCACTGCACTGCCGTCCGTGGAGGTGGCCAACACAAAGGCACCCTTGTTGCCTTGACCACGCGTTGAATAGAGCCATGGAGGGCCAGACCAGAGCCCTCGGCAAAAAACACCTATGTAGTCCGCAGCCGAGAAGACTGTCATCACAAAATACCCATCATCAGAACTCTGGACTCTGGAGCCATCCTCCACTTGCTCATGACCAGGGAAAATGCCTTTCAGTTCATTGGATTGCAGGGGTGCCTTCGCCTTGTCCATACCAAACTGGTGATATTCACTGCCCCTCTCGGACTCAATGAAGCCATTGCCGGTGTGTGGATCCGCCCAAACTGTAGTGGACCCAACCTTTCGGTCAAGGCAGCCACCAAACCGTCCAGCTTTTCCCGTGCATGCGTTCACGAACTCCGGGCTGATGCCCCCATGCATGGCCATGAGCCTCCCAGGTGCCACAGCGACATAGCACCTCCTCTTTGAAACCAATAGTGCCACCAAAGTTCTGGCGATTCATGGTTGCCTTGCAAAAGAATGACACCTTGAGGGCACAGTGCCTTCAGGGCAATTTTCAAGCAAGCTCATGGATGCGCTAGCTACGTGAGCAGAAATCTAAACTTGGATGTCGCAGTTTACTAAACTACAAGCAGCCGTCTGCCAAGACCTGACAGTGATGAGCGCAACAAAGAAAGAAGCAGTGGGGGATCGGTCAGACCGTAGCGATGCACTTGTTCCTAGTAGCGTCCTTGCTCCTAGTAGTGATGCCAGGAGCCCCTAGTAGCGTCCTTGTTACTACTAGTAAGGCACTTGTTAGTAGCAGCGGATTCTCTCTAAGGATTTGCTCGGGTTCATTGTCAAAGATTCCCTTGCAGGAGCGCCTTCTCACAAAACACAAGCAGTCACCACCGGCAAACCTGCAGATCCTGGAAAAACTGGTGGTCAAGAGGGCAATTGTCTTTGCAAGTAAGGTTTCTGATATTCATGCACCTAACGCATCATTCAACACAGCTTATCTTGCAGTTGTAGGTGAAGTGTAGTCACTTGCGGGTCCTCCTTCACAAACACTGCGCTACAACCAATTGCTTCTAAGCCAACATATGACCTAACAATATCTAACAATATCTGAACAATATCTGATACAAGACCAGTGACATCTTGGAAATGCTGGCCTTGTAGGCCAACAGAAGCAACAGCAGTTCAAGATAGTTCAAGTCCTCTTTCACCTCGATCCACATAGTCACCTAGAAAGACGTACTGGATGCGCGGATCGCGGAGGAGCAAGGATGATCCATCTAGGGGATTAAGACCCTGGCCCGTGTAAGTCTCCATGATGCGCACCAAGTAAGCAATGAGGTTGAAGAGCTGCCCGTGAAGATCTCCGATGATTACGAGGTATTGAACCTCTTTGGGGATCTCACGGCTGTAGCCATGCCCTTCAGCACTTTGAAACTCGGGCATGAGAACCTCTTCCGTCACTTTTGACAGAAATCTTGTCACTTTCCATTTCTCCAATATCGGTAGATTCCGATACATGCCATTCATAAGTTTCAGGGCATCATGTTCCAGTGGCTGGACAAAGTTCATAGCAGTTTCTTGCAATCTAACCTCCTTCAGTTCACAAGACTTGCTTCCACTTGACCTCCAAACCTGGGCCTTTTGCGCCTCTTTGGAGTGGAGGACTGTGCAGGTCTCCACACACATAGAGTTTCCTCAGACACACCGGTCACCTGGCCTTTCCGGTCTCTTGGAATTGCCACTGTCCTTTCCATTGCGCCTTAAGCTCATAGCTTTGTCCATTGCACTTGCTAATGCAGCAGCGGTCTTGACAAATGCCTTTTTCTTCCTTTGGATGCCGGCAATACTGCAGTCCCCGCCCACTTTTTTCGCCAGACTTTGACAGTTTTGGGTTCCTCATTGAATTGGACCGTGCAGGTCTCCTCACACATCTTTTCACCATACATATTATTGAAAGGCTGATTCTCTTTCACCTGACAATCCTGGTATCGAATCTTCTCCCCAATGTCTCCATTGAGGGTATAGGTTTGGTCACTGCACTTGGCACTGCGACACTTGGAAAAAACACGGTCATGGTGTCGCAAACCGTCCTGAGTCCCGCGCATGGCAATAACCTTCAGGGGCAACATGAAAATAAGTATCGGTGCCCAAGCCATCATCGCAGCCATGGCAATGTCTCCAAGGTGGTCGGAATGGATTTCTCAACACTGGATTCGTTAGATCACTCGCTTGAACGCTTGAACCGAAAACATGTACCATCGATCTCAAAAAAAGTCCCGAACTGCCAGTTCCCACGTGACCCATGCAGTCGCATGCAGTTGTGAAAGTCTGTTGGCTGTTGGCATCTCTTCGAGCATCAGCGTGCTCTTCAAAGGCACAATCGCGAAAACCGGTGATTTGCCTAACGTGTATCTCAATATCTGAAAAACATAACGTAAGGGTCGTTCGTTGCACCACCGTCAGGGATGCGCAAAGGCGGGGAATTAAGTTCCATTTCAAACGCGAGGCGAGAGGAGAGAAATGCAGTAAGGAGAAAAAGATATGAAAAAGACCTTCGATGAATCTTTCACGCAAAAACATGCATGCACGAAGCTTATTGCGGATCTTTCACGGATGATTCGGACGATTGCTTATCTTTGACCCCCTGCCAGTGCATTTCAGGATCCATGCGGTTATGAAAACCGGAATATCTTCGGTTTGCGCAACAATCAAGGAAGTCAGAGCGCCCAAATAATCACAGCGAGCCTCCGGCACCTATAGCGCCACCATGCTTTGCTGCTACGCAGCCTCGAGACGGTTGACGAAATGAAATCCACGGTGGAATGATATTCGTGAGCTACGGTTATGTTCCGCCTGCTGTCACCCAGGGCTCCTATCCCAACTGCACACATGATCCAAGAACAAGCAAAAGGAAAGCAACCCAATGTCACATCTGCAAATTATTGGTCTAACACTAATACTTGCATAATGCCTATATATATATAATATGATATATACAATTATATGTATATTACTATTTTGCAATGATGCATAAAAAATCCTCAAGCCTAATGTGCTGCCCGATTCTGAGGTCGGTATGAACATCAAAGAGTTTGCAGCAATTCGCACACCAAACATTGCCAAACACCCCATTTTTTGTTTGTAGAGCACGCAGGTACAGGTCAAAGGGAAGCCATGTGGCCAGTACAAAGCCTCACTCACGCAACCAGTGCTGATGCAGTGGCAGATTGGTACTTGAAAGTCGCAGGCAGGGACTTCACTCGCTTGTAGTATCTGGCCAGGCGATGAATACGGCTTTCCACTAGAATCAAGCGAAACTTGGCATCCTTGTCCTTGCGGTTCTTGTCCAAGTGCTTTCGGATAGACACTGCTTTCTTGATCAAGTAGTACAAATCCTCTGGCAGAGTTGGTGCCAAGCCATTGGTCTTCAAGATTCGCAAGATGTGGTTGCC